TTGTTGCCCAAGCTGGAGTGCAATGGCATGCTCTCAGCCCACTGCAACCTCTGCCTCCCGGGTTCAAGCGATTCTCTTGCCTCAGTCTCCAGAGTAGCTGAGATTACAGGTGTGCACCACCACACCCAGCTAGTTTTTGTATTTTTAGTGGAGACAGGTTTTCACCATGCTGGCCAGGCTAGTCTCGGAACTCCTGACCTCAGGTAATCTGCCCGCCTTGGCCTCCCAAAGTGCTGGGATTACAGGCATGAGCCACCAGGCCTGGCCAGTTTCGTCATTTTTATATATTTTGGTAATTTCATACTTTATCTGTAGATATGGGACACATCATTTTTTAAGGCAATTTAATATTCCATTCTATACTTGTATCACACTTAATCACTATCTATTAATGAAATACATAGGATGCTTCCAGGCTTTTTTCTATTATATCATACTAAATAGCTATCCTTATCTATACGGCATATATATGCCACTTTGCACATATAAAAGCATAACAAATGCTAAATTCCTGGGCTAGAGGGTATACGTAATTTGAGAAATATTGCCGGACTACTCTCCAGAGTTGTCAATTTACCCTCCCACTTGCCGTGTCTAAGAGTGACATTTCCTGAGCAAATTATTTTGCACAATGTGAAGGCACCAAGAGTTCAGGTGACAAAACAACACACTATCGGCTCTAAATAGGCCCTGTGTGGTCCTTCATTTGAGTATCTTATTTTCCATGAACTCAGCTACAACCTGAAACACAGTGGGCATTTGCACACCGTCTTCTCTTCTACTACTTTTGCCTGCAATAACGTCTTCCACCTCCAAATGGTTTTCTTTCTCATTCTTCAAGGTCTTTCCAAACAATTACCACCCCTTTACTCAATGCCCCAAACATAATTATTACTTCATCTGCTGGCCTTAATACCTTACTCATCTTCTTCTGATGGTGAAAAATTGCAAGAGGAAAGCAAAAAATAAAAAATAAATACCTTACTCATCACACTGTATTACATAGTTTTTTTTATTTTCTTTCTCTCTTTACAGGATTCACCTGTGAATCCTCTAAAACCATATAAACAACAAATAAATATGTGCATGTACACATTTTTATCATATTCTCAAAAGCCTCTAAGACCCATGAAAGGGTAAGATACTACCCCATAAAAGTGACATCTGAGGACTTTATTATTCTCTTGTTAGCCCCAGAATTTAATAGGTTGCTTGGCACACAACCTGTGTTCAATACTGGTTACTGAACATTGAAATGAACATATTTTTCTTACATAACAACAACAGCAGTTCAAAAAGCCACATACTTGAATAAAAGCCTTTGATGCTGGTATTGTTCAGTGACTCAGCAACAATTGCCTTCAAACTGTTCTTACTTCGGGTGTCACTTGCATTCAGTTCCACGTAGCTGTATCCCAACTCCTAATCAAAATATTGGAAACCACTGATGGCACAATACAAATTAACTACACCAGCCCCACCGAAAGGCCAGTTAAGAAAGAAAGGGGGTACAAAAATCACATAAAAAACTATAGGTAAAAATTTAAAGTATGATACTAACAGACAATGAGATTAACTATAGTATGCCTTACAATATTAGAAATTTTTAGAATATCATATACATACATAAAACATACACATATAAACACAAATAAGTTTGGTCTTTAAACTTCAGCTGAAATTGCTAATCTGGAAGAGTATATTTGAACAAACAATTTTAGTAAATTTACTTCTTAAAGTCCTCAAAAAAGAATTAAATATAATCATCCCCAAGAATTCAATATCAGACACAGAGTTAATTTATTCTAAGATATGGGCCAGATGCAGTGGCTCACACCAGTAATCCCAGCACTTTTGGGAAGCTGAAGCGGGTAGATCACTTGAGGTCAGGAGTTCGAGACCAGCCTGGCCAACATGGTGAAACACCAACTCGACTAAAAATACAAAAACTTAGCTGGGCATGGTGGCACATGCCTGTAGTCTCAGCTACTCGGGAGGTTGAGGCACAAGAATCACTTGAACCCAGGAGGCAGAGGTTGCAGTGAGCCGAGTTCATGCCATTGCACTCCAGCCTGGGTGGCAGAGCGAAACTGTGTCTCAAAACAGAAGTTAAAAATGAAGATACTAAAAACTAATCCACTCTAAGATAATTTATAAAGTTAAATCATTCTTTGTCAAGCTATCCCAATAAACAATTTTTCTCTGAAATCAGGAAAATGTAAATTATTCTGATTCATTTCCCAAAACTGATCAGCTTATGTCTTAACTCAATTCCTAAAAAACATAATAATAATAAAGGGAGAAAAAGAGTTGTGTTCGCAACTGTAGGGGCTAGGGAAAAAAATATTGTTTTGCTTTTTTGTTGTTTATAAATACAGTGAAAACAGACAAAATTTGTATTTAAATTTTATGCACAGATGCATACAACAAAGACCAAAAGAAACCACAAGCTTATGCAGCAAATGACTGAAATCCAGCAATAAATTTCTAACTCTTATTTCATCATTCTGATACCAACACATGAGCTCTGATCTGCTCTAGTGCCTACACAAGTCAAGTTCTCCCACTGTCTACAGGGAGTCAGCCACAATAGAGACAACAGGAATGAAGGCAGGATCACACAGCACTGAAGAGCAGAACCCTGAGTCGGGTTACCTGGGTGCAAACTGGGCCTCCACCCTCCTCCCTAAGCCTATTTCATTTGACACGTGTGGATGATGGCAGTGCAGATCATTATTGAATACATCGAATTATTACAAGGGCATTAAGATATTTGCATCTTTCAGAGTCTAGAATACATGATTTGTTATCCATAATGCACCCGTGTGCTTAGCACATTGCCTCACTCATAGGTATTACCTATTATTATAATTACCAATATTTTAAAAGGATAAAAATGACAAACATCACCAGAACCAACATAGTTTATATATAGACACCACACACACGCACACACGTGGGCACACGCTTTTATCTGCTAGCCATGACCACTCAAGGTTATCAGTCCAACCACACTGTGACAAAGCACCCACCTGACACACCAGGGAAGCTGTGGTGGTTTTGCCAACACCTGGAGGGCCTGACAGCAACACTGCTTTAAAACTAGAGCCATCATCTTTGCCGGCGAATTTACCAAACTTTGGTGCTGGAAAAAAAGAAGTTCCAGAGTGTTAACCTGTATTGCCTAACAGAAATTCAGGCATGGCAGGAATAGTTGTGCCTAAACTTCGCATAGAGAGCAGACCTCCAGTTTAGTTTTACATTTGCAGAATATTTTCTACAAAGCATAAACAAGTTTCCAGAGCCTTCAGTGACATTCTAATTCCTACCTCACCCCCACCCAAAATAAAAAACTAAAACTAACTGATTTTAAAGCTCTTGATTTGAAATAATAATTGTATGAGTTTCCTTTCCTATGAACGCACAGGCCAAGGAGTAGGCTGCCTGGGCTCGATCCCAACTCCATCCATCCTCATGCCACCTCTCGCCAGCCATGGGTACTTTAGAAGTCACTTAGCCCGTCTCTGCCTGCCTCCTTCCTTGTGAGACGAGCAGAACAACAGTAAAGTTGCTGGTAAGGATACTGTGAGGACGGAATGGCTGAGCACAGAGCCAGTGCATGCTTTGATAAATGTACGCGTAGCAGCTACATGGTCACAAGAAGAAAAAAATGACTTGAAGATGCTGTGTCTGCAACTATCTTGTGACAATCAACACTAGAGCCCTCTCCCTCCCCTCACCACAAGAGCGCCTGGCATATACGTCACACTCAATTCATACTCAATAACTGACAGAGACAATGGTTAAAGCATGGAGACAGGGACTAGAGTTTACCTGAAGCTTTAAAAAAGTCTTCTCAGCCAGGTGCAGTGGCTCACATCTGTAATCTTAGCACTTTGGGAGGCTGAGGTGGGCAGATCACGAGGTCAGGAGTTCAAGACCAGCCTGGCCAGCATGGTGAAACCCCTGTCTCTACTAAAAATATAAAAAATTAGCCAGGCATGGTGGTGCACACCTGTAATCCCAGCTACTTGGGAGGCTGAGGCACAAAAATCAGTTGAACGCAGGAGGCAGAGGTTTCAGTGAGCCGAGATCGTGCCACTGCCTCCAGACTGGGCGATAGAGCAAGATTCTGTCTCAAAAAAAAAAAATGTATTATCCAGGCACATGTTAAATGCCTGTCCCCTCTTTTAAGGCAGATTTTATGAGGTTTCAGAATGGAAAAAAAAAAACGATTTAACTTAAATTTAGTCCTGTATCATTACAATATATTATCTGTTATAAACAAACAGGCCTCATTGGCAATGATGATTGGCACTCTAGTCATCACTGGTCTATGCTGAAAACACTACTACAACATTTGTGATCTGAAACCTCAGTTCTGAAAACACTAGATACATTAAATATATATTGTAGCTTTTCACTCTCCATGACAAATACATCATAAACAAGGAGAGAAACTACAGAAGCACAGGACTCTCAGGCCTTCTGAAGCAAATTGTGCTTGCCTCAGTTATGTATTCACGCCTTTCCTCCTCGTACCCTTGCCACTCAGAGTCTTGCTTTCACATGGCTTCAGACCTGGGGATATGTACTCTTTCCCACCCAACACCCACCCCTCCCTTCGCCTAGCTACCTCCTACTTGGGTTCCAAGTCTGAGCTTAGCCATCCCTTCCTCCAGGATGGGAGCACACACACCCTGGCCCTGACCACACATCTTCATCCTCGCAGCACCCTGGACTTACCCCTATAGCAGTACTTGGCACAATATATTTTAATGGCTGGTTCAGATATGCCTCCCCAACTGCCTGTGAGCTCCTGAGAGGGGCTGTTTTGTTCACAACACCACCAGCAGGGTCTAGTACTGCACCTGGGTTCAGATCAAGCTCTTAATAAATGCTTGCTGACAGATGAATGAACCATTAGATTTTCTCATATATGTGCCACTGAGCAATCACATGTTGAAATACATACACACAAATATGAATGAGGTTGTAAAATCACCGTGTTTTTTATCTTCGGAAGAACTCTTGTGCCAGTTTCGGAGCCAGCGTAGGAGTTTGTTGGCACAGCTCTGGTCACCTTGCTGTCCAATTATGGTCTTGAGCGAGGTTGGCTTATATTTATCCACCCAGAGCAAATTTTCCATTTTGTTTTCACTGCTGCCATCAGCTGAATTTCTAGCCTTGCCGTCACCACTTGTCTCCTCGGCCACCTGCTCCTTGGAATCCAGGCCTCCCCAAAACACGTCTGTTTCCTCTTTTATTGTCTTTGCCGAACTGTCCCTTCTGGAAGTCAACTTGCTCTTTTTAGATTCTGATTCCTTTTTAGATGGACTAATTTTCCTTTTTCCTTGTGCATTTTTTTGGGGAGTTCTCTCCAGTTTGGACTCTTTCTTCATCTTAAAAAGTAGAAAAGTGAGAAAAAAAGAAATCTGACGAAGCATACAGATTTCTATCCTGCTAAATGTACTACAGAGAGCAATCAGAGATAATCAAGTGGGCTACTCGACTTGGGCTGCTCTCTTCACAGTAGACTTTCCTGTTTGTGGAAATCACCACCTTCTAAACTACAAAAATTAACAAACACACCAGAAAGCACCCAAATGCAATTTCTTTTTTTTTTTTTTTTTGAGACGGAGTTTCACTCATGTTACCCAGGCTGGAGTGCAATGGCGCGATCTCGGCTCACCGCAACCTCCGCCTCCTGGGTTCAGGCAATTCTCCTGCCTCAGCCTCCTGAGTAGCTGGGATTACAGGCACGCGCCACCATGCCCAGCTAATGTTTTGTATTTTTAGTAGAGACGGGGTTTCACCATGTTGACCAGGATGGTCTCGATCTCTTGACCTTGTGATCCACCCGCCTCGGCCTCCCAAAGTGCTGGGATTACAGGCTTGAGCCACCATGCCCGGCCCCAAATGCAATTTCTAAAAGTGAGAACATGTTGGTTTTTTAAAAGCAGTAAGTACTCCAATTTTAGTTTGAAAAAAAACAAGGCACAGTGTTAAGAGACTTTGTTTCAAAGTTTTCTAATTAAAAATTAATGCCTCTACAAAAACTTGTAGACAAATGTTCATAACCATATTATAGCTAAAAGATGGAAACAATCCAAATGTCCATCAACTGAAAGATAAACAAAATAGGGTGTATCTACACAATGAAACATTATTTACCCATAACAAAGAGTTAAGTACTGACACATGCCACAACCCAAGTCAACCTTGAAACCACTATACTAAGTGGAAGAAGCCAGACACAAAATGCCACATATTCAAATGTCTCTATTTACACATGAAATGT